AAAAGTGTTAGCATTTGATAGCTCCAAGGTAGGCACTTCCTCACTCAGGTAACAGCTGCAGAGCTCAGGAGCGGTGTCCATTGACAGATACTTTTCCAATAACACAACACTCAGGTACTTTACAGTAAGTTACTGTGTAGCTTAAAGTCTGTTGTTTATGGGTACGGGTTGGGTCATAAGTCTTTTGTTAAAGGGTTGGGTCTGGATTTCATTTAGAAATAACTCTAGGTAATAGGTCGGGCCCAATACGGTGCTTTGCAGGTGCAGGGCGGGTGCAGGTTTTCAAAATTGGACCCGTGCAGGACTCTGCTCTCTAGTTACAGTACACAGTCTGATAATGCACAACACATTCATGTAGCCTTGGCCACAAGTGCTACAACAGCTCAATTATTAATCAGTCTGTGTGTCTCTGACTTGCTGTGAGAAGTGTTTAGCGTTTTTTTTTGTCATACAGATTTTAGTCAGGCATAGAGAGCATTTTGCAGTCAGCTCAAAAACAACACTTATTTGAACTTACAGCACTAACATTACAGGTAATCAGTCAGCATGTCTTGCAACAACACTAGAATGATCATGTCAGAGGGAAACTCAAGTGAGAGAGAAAGAGAGAGAGCTAGCTCTCTGGAAACCTGTTCCACGAGATTACATAACATTACTATAATACAGGCAAATGGAATAATCCCATAAGCAGTACCAATGGTTCATGTGCTTCCTATGCAGGCAGGGCTGAGATGTAATTTGATCCAAGAAGGTGGGGCATGAGATGTGATTTCTATGGTTGTTCTTATCGCATGATGACAAGGGAATAGTAGTGGCCCCTTTGCTGTGAAATGAAACCTATCTGTGCTGTTGTGGAGCAGAAACTCTTTCATCTTAGGCTTTCCCAAAAATGGCTGCAAGTCATTGGTACACAATTAAATGTGCCAAGGAACGGGAGAGCATTCATATGGAAGCTTTCCTGCCTCCATGGCTAATTCTGTATATTTCCATTTCTTTCTCTCATAAGCTGTGTCTACAGCATCCTCCCAGGGAACTGTAAGATCAACAAAATACACTATACAGTGCATTTCTGACCACAACACACAGTCTGGTCTTAGGTTAGTGCTGACTATCTCCTCAGGAGCTTTGGTCATAGTTCCATAGCTGATTTCCTAAACCTACTTTCATTTGCCAATCTCTCCCTGCCTTTAGCTGGCCTGCATCCTGCCTGTTCAGATTGACTTGTTTCCAGCCTTTTCACCCTCATGAGCAATAAAATCCTCCTTCTCCTCCTCCATTGAGTTTACCTGTAAGTGCCTACTTTCAGTAGCTGCTGCTGCACATTTCAGCACTTGATCATGTCTCCAGGTGTATCGTCCTTGAGCCAGGCTTGTTTTATGCCCTGAGAGGATGTGCTGAAATGATGGTACACCTGAACACTCAGGTCCTCACCTATCCATCTATTCAGATTTTGGGGAGATGGAAGCACATCATAAGTTGTACCTAGAATGAATCTTATCCTTTATGTCTCCCTGTCCTACATTTCCCTCCAACTAAGTTTCTTCTTTTCTACATCTTCCCATCTTATCCACTGTCCCTGCTGAGTCTGGGAGATTGCCTTTGCATATCTACCTGCCTCTTCCTGCCTCCTAATCTCCTCAATAACCATTTTCCTTCTGTCAGCTGCTGCTGCTTTGCTCCAAGAAGTTTGTGATGTGTTTAAAACCACCATGTCCACGCTGTACCTACAGTATCCCCATGTTTTAAGAGCTGCCTGAGCCTGCAGCACTGCCTCCTTTGGGTTCCACTTCCTCCCTGCTGAGACAGTCGGTTCTGCACTCTGCACAGCTACATCCCTGGATTCTGACAGCGTTATCTCCAGTCTAGCCTTAGCGCATTTAAACTCTTCTGTTAAACTGGCTATAGGGAGCTCCAAAATCCCTTTTCTGTACAGGGCCACACTGCTGAGGCAGCACTGAGCTCCCAGCCACTTCCTAATGTACGTGCTAAACATTCTCTCTAGCTTCTCTACCTTAGAAATTGGTACATCATACAATGTCAGTGGTCATAACAATCATGGCAAAAGACCAAACTGCCTGGCACCACAATTTGCGTTTGCCAGTGGAAGCCTGGTGCCTCTATGTTCTTAATCCCATCAACTGGCTGCTGTCTCAAGCCCTGAATCTGCTCTTTATCAGTAAGAGCTGTATCACACCACCTACCTAAAATTTTGACTGGATTATCTAACACTATTGGAATCGGCTCATCATTTAAACAAAAGCTTCTATTTGACAGCACACCTTTCACTCTTGAAATGCTCCTTAATTTCTCTGGCTTCACCTTCATTCTAGCCCACTTTAAGTTAGCATTCAACTTGTCCAATAGTCAGGCTTTTTCAAAAATTGCTATCATAAATAGTCATGCCAGAAAAAACATGTTCTAGCTTTGTTTATAGAAGTTTGAAAATACATTACACTTTAAACTAAAATGGGATCACACATGTTACAGACTTCAGTTCACTTACAGCACATTAAATGACTCTTAACCATGAAATCAAAACAAATGTATTGGGGAGATGGACTCTAGCAGCTAAGTTTCATTTCCTCTTAAATGAAACCTGATGTTTTTGTGGCAGAGGCTGGAGTCTTTGCATTGTGCACAGGAGAGGAGGGAAGGCATTAAAATTTAGAGTAGCTGTCAGTTTCCATTTTAGAGGAGTGACAACAAGCATAAGTAAATAACAAATACAACTGAATGCATTACAGGTTTGCTATTTTATTAAATGTGTCTTTTGAAAAGGGATTTTGTTGGTCAAAAAGAAAAGTTGTGGGACCTTGGAACTATGCCATGATCAGCTCATGGTAAAGTCCCATGTAGTGCTGGGATAACCTCTCAAAGCATCTTGTGACATAACAAATGGACAACCGTAGCCATAAGAAACGTTTAATTGAATGCCATTCAGTTTAATCTGTCTTTGTTTTCAGCTCTCTGAAAACTTCCCCAAGATAAAACCACAATTTCAGTTAATGGATGTGTCTGTGACAGCTGTGTTTTTGTTTTTGTTTTTTGGGTGGGGGTGGGGGGACAGACAAACAAAACAAACCCCTGCTTTTGTTTGGGGAGAGAAAGCACAGTTCAGATACACTAGGCACCATGGAGAACTTGTACTGTGTGGGCATGCTGGCTGGTTCCAGTGAGTACTACTTCCAAGTTTTTCAGCCCATTCATTAGCATATTCAGTAACACCCTGCATTTACATAGTCCAACTGAACCTTGTTTAACTGGTTCCAGTTTCTGATGTCACCTGTGAGTGGACTGCGCTGGCCAGTCAGAGACATGCAAGCATACTTTTCAGGTAGAATAACATCTGATGTACAGCTTCTGACTGTTAGTTGAGACTAATCAAGACCAGAGTCAAATCCATTAGAGTGATAATTTATTGCCGACCACTTTGATAATTAAGCAAAATGCCAAACATCAATTTCCAGTCTTTCGAATGTGTGGATTTGTTCTTTTTTATGATAATAAAAATATTTTTGGACTGCTGGTGAAAGTATTTACCCTTATGGTTAGTGCACCAGCAACCCTGAAGTTGCTGCCTCTGTATCCCGGCCTTCTTCTAGGCAGAGTGTACAAAATAAGCCAAGTGAAACCCAGTCAACTTTGGCTTGTATCAGGTAGGGTTGTTCATAAATCCCACAGAGCAAACATACAATAAACTCTGCTCTTTTGGGTGTAATCCAAACAACAGTAAGTTGGGGAAATGCTAGTGTTCTTCTTGTTCAACTTTATGTAGTGTACACATGCTTTGCTGTGTTGCCTTATTAACAAAAGCAGAATGTCACTTTTCCTCTCTCTTATCATCTGCCACAGGGAAGAAGCCTATTATTGGCCCAGTCTGCCTTTATATTGCTCTTTCTGCATGTGTCCATACATAGTTTAGTTCTTATTTGTCCACCCACAGAGACTTGTCCTTGCATCTTTGTGTGTGTGCAGAATTGGTCAGTGAGAAGGTCAGCACATGTGGGTAGCGCAACGCGTTCCAAGAACAAATGTGGTCCACTCACTAAGACTGTCCTAACTGAGAACAACATTCTTTTTTTTCTGACATTATGCCAGGACACTTTTATTTTTGCTTTGCCCTGCAGTCTACCAAAAAGTAAGAGCTAGTTTGGGATTATGTAAAAAAAACACTGCTGCTACTACTTCCCTTCCTTTAAGACTTTTCACTGTCTTTCTGCTGGAAATGATTAGAACACAATGCATAGGTCAGTCTAATATTCTAACCAATCATTTTACTGATAGGCTCCCTGTAACTCTAGAGAGAACTCCAGGAGTTGCCAGTTTTTTACAACGCATCTATTTTTTCCCAAGGGGCTTTTATTTGCCAGGGGAAGGCTAACATTTTGGCAACACCCTGCTTCACATTCTACTATTACATAAAAAGCCTCTAGCTGTCACAGACATTAGTTTGGTGACTCCCCAGTGTCAGTGTAGGGGAAAAACGCTCAAATTCTCAGTTTTTGCTGCCACACATCTTTAAGTCACAAGCCCATCATTACCTGCTTTTTCTGAAATTAGACCCTCAGTGCCAAACATGTAAAATTTATTAGATTGTAACTTTGATTATTTAGTATGAGGGGGATG